AAATCCCAGCCTAGGGAGGGCTGAAACCAAGAGGATCTGCCCCAAAATGCCTCAGCAGGCGGGATCCAGCCCCTCCATCCCCCTCCAGCATCCCAGCCAGCTCCAGGGAGGCCTCGTGTCCCCCCAGGGCACCAGATTCGGGGTGATGGGCGACGAGAGGGGCAGGAAAGCAGCTGGAGGAGCTGCAGGAGCTACAGGACAAGCCCCGGGGAGGGGAGGAGCTGCAGGTTTTCCCTGCCAGGGAGCTCTCTCGGTGGCAGGTCTGTGTTCCCCGGGCAAGGGGAAGATAAAGCAGCCAGAGCGTGTTGCTTTTATTACCTGAGAAAATTGAAGCGAGTCTGAATATATCAGAGAGACGAGAGGTGACCGGCTCGTAGGGGGAAGCTTCATAAAATTCTTCTCCTGCCGTGGGAGGAAAGGGAGAGAAGGAAGGGAGGGAGGGAGGAAAAGCAAATTAAAACCCACAGGGGGAATGATCTCGGCACGGGCAACCCCCCCACCACCACCAGCCTGGGATTTGGGAAGGGGGGAAGCCAAAAAGCCTTTAAAAAAAGCCTGAAACACGAGGAAAAAAGCTGATTTTGGAGCGGTTCAGGTGGGCTCTGGCTGCTGGGGAGGGGGTGGGAGGGTCCTGCTGCCAGCTCAGCTCCCTGTCCGAGCCAGGGCTGGCAGTGGCTCCAGGAGTTGAAGGAATTGGGATTTGAAGGGGGATTGGGATTCCCTGGCCACAGCCCCCCAGCCTGGGTCAGCTGCAGGCTGGAAGTTTGAGGGCCTGTGCTCAGCTCTGGGTTGTTTTATTGTTGTTCCAAACCCCCCATTTGCCTAAAAACCCGCTGTAAGATGGTTTTCCACCCCGTTCCTTGGGAAAATAGGAATATTTCAGTGCAGGGGTACAGACCCTCATCCTCTGAGAGCCCCAGAGTGTCCCCACGCTGCACTCCAGGGGCTCATCCACCACAATCCACACCTTCCAGAGGGAACCTGAGGGGCAAATCCCCCTTCTCCCATCTTGGATCTCAGGGAAAACTCCTGTGCTTTTGCTGGGTTAAACCCCAGGAAAAAAATAAAAAAACAATTTCAGGACAACCAGCCATGGCCCTCAGGAGAGGAAACGCTCTCCCCAAACCCCGGCGGCCACAGGAAAAAATAAATAAAATATATATATATCTGTAAAAATTAATCGATGGCCGGACTTTGAAAGCCCCGGCTGAGGCTGAGCAGCAGCTGGAGCATCGATCCAGGAGTGCTGGGGCATCCCTTCCCCAGGATCCCTGCGGGGTGGGGAGCCAGGATGGAGCCTGCTGTGTCCCAGGGATGCATCCCGGGGTTATTCCCGGCCCGAGGCAGCAGCGTTTATCCCGCTTCAAAGCCTGCGTGGCCAAGGAGGGGCAGGGAGCGGGGCAGGAGGGTTTGCTCCGAGCCCAGCGGCTCCTCAGGGGCATTCCTTGGAAATCTGGGAGGAGGAGACACCGGTGGGATGCCGGGTGGGATGCCAGGCTGGGCCGTCTCCACCTCCTGCGGGGTTCCAGCCCGTCCCCCCGTGCCTGCTCTCCCCAGGGTGATGCTCTTGGGGGGCACAGGGAAGGGAACAGGCTCCGGGCAGCCCGGAGGGTCCTTCTCCAGGCCATTCCCAGCCCCTCCTCCAGCTCCCCGGGTTTCCTCGTGCTCCGATGACAAACAGCACCTTGATTAAAGCGCGTTTAGGAAGCACAGTAACCTCCCGGTGCATTGCTCCGCCGGCGCAATGAATAATTAAACCCCAGCTTGACTCCTGCTGCTTTGCCAGGGAAATTACGGAGCATTAAAAGGGCACTGGACCTGCCTGGAGATACAATTAACCCCCAGGAACGAGGCTGGAGCCAGAGCAGCCCTCCCCGGAGGCAGGGACAGGGGACATTCCCCAGCTGGGAGGACACCAGCCCCGAAATCTTGGCTAAAACGGCACAAGATCAGGATCTGCTTCGGGTTCCTCGCTGCACATTAAAGCAACGAGCTGCTGGATCGCCCCAGAGCTTCCACCTCTCCCTAAGACTTGGCATAATCACTTCTCTTCCCACCTCCTCCTCCTCCTCCAGGTACAGCTCCTGGAGTACCCAGCAAGCCCTTAAAAACGTCCCTCATTCATGCTTGCAAAGCCCTGGGAAGCTGCTCAATGAAGGCTGTTAATGAGGGGGAGAAAACAATTAAGGAGTAATTCCTGCTCTGGGACGGGTTTTGGGCTCGAAGCTTCCTGTGCTGACCCAGATTTGGAGGGAACTTCACCCAGGGGGGCTGTGAGCTGGGGTACAGCTCCCCCAGCCTCAGGAACAGCTCCCCCATCCTCCAGTACACCTTTCCCATCCTCAGGTACAGCTTTCCCATCTTCAGGCACAGCTTTCCCATCCTTGAGTACACCTTTCCTATCCTCAGGTACAGCTTTCCCATCCTCAGACACACCTTTCCCACCCTCAGGCACACCTTTCCCATCCTCAGGCACAGCTCCCCCACAGAATCCCAGAATCCCAGACTGGTTTGGGTTGGAAAGGGACCTTAAAAAAATCTCCTTCCAACCCCCTCCCCCGGGCAGGGACACCTTCCACAGGGACACCCCGTGCCCGTCTTGGGCAGCTCAACCCCCATGAGCATCCTCTGGGAATGGGATGCTCACCTGCCCTACCTGGGGTGCCCATCTCCCTTACCCGGGGTGCCCATCTCCCTTACCTGGGCTAAGGGAGCTCACCTGCCCTACCTGGGATGCTCACCTGCCCTACCTGGGGTGCCCATCTCCCTTACCTGGGGTACCCACCTGCCTTACCTGGGGTAAGGGAGCTCACCTGCCCTGCCTGGGGTGCCCATCTGCTCTAGTTGAGGTGCCCATCTCCTCTACCCGGGGAACCCATCTGCTTTACCTGGGGTACCCACCTGCCTTACCTGGCGTGCCTGTCTCCCTTACCTGGGGTAAAGGAGCTCACCTGCCCTACCTGGGGTGCCCATCTCCCTTATCTGAGGTACCCACCTGCCCTACCTGGGGTGCCAATCTCCCTTACCTGGGGTAAAGGAGCTCACCTGCCCTACCTGGAGTACCCCCCTGCCCCACTTGGGGTGCCCACCCGCCTTACCTGAGCTACCCAAGCCCCACCCACCCCATTTCCCCCAGACTCCCCTCCCTCCTCCAACCGCGCCAGCACCCCCCTCACCTTCGGTCAGCCCCAGGTGTATACTCCAGTAGATCTGAAGGCACTGAAGCTCCTTCTTCATGCCCCTCTTGCAGCGGCAGTCGTACAGGGGGCTCTCCTGCAGCACCTCCAGGGCCGCCTGGCACTCCTTGTTGGCCAGCATGGTGTTCCTGTCGCGCCCGGCCAGGCACTGGCGCAGGGTGCGGTAGCGGGCGCTGCAGCCGGGCTCGCCCGCGCACAGCTCGTTGGCCCGCACGCAGTCCACGGGCACCCTCCAGCCGCGGGGGTCCTGCCCCGCCGGGCCCGGGGGGGGGGCGGCGGCTCCCAGGCAGCGCAGCATCTCGTCTGGGACGGGGAGGGGCAGAGAGGAGGGCACACGGAGGTGAGGGAGGGCGGAGATGGGGCGGGAAGGTGTCGCGTTCCCTCCCCGCCCGCCCCGCGCGGCCGCCCCGGGTCGTGCCCAGTTATGTTTTAAAATATCCTCACCGCGTTGGAACGACTCCCGTTTCTCCCCTCTCTCCAAGGATAAGGTGATTGTTTTCTGGTGGAAGTTAAGGGCGGGAGGTAAGTGGGTGCTGACCCTCAGCTGGGCTCTGGGACACCCTCACCCCGGTCCATCCCCACAGGGCTGGGCACCCCCGCGGGCCCCTCTGCCTTGGGGTGCAGAAATCACAGAATCACAGAATCCCAGAATCAGCTGGGTTGGAAGGGACCTCCGAGATCATCCAGTCCAACCCTTGATCCAACCCCGCCGTGGTTCCCAGCCCATGGCACTGATGCCACATCCAGTCTGTCCTTAAACACCTCCAGGGATGGAGAATCCCCCCCTTCCCTGGGCAGCCCATTCCAATGGCTGAGCACCCTCTCTGCAAAGAAATTCTTCCTAAATTCCAAGGGTAAGGTGATTCTTTTCTGGTGGAAGTTAAGGGTGGTGGGTAAGTGGGTGCTGACCCTCAGCTGGGCTCTGGGACACCCTCACCCCGGTCCATCCCCACAGAGCTGGGCACCCTGCATGCCCCTCTGCCTTGGGGTGCAGAAATGCTCCCAGGGTTTTGAAAGCTGGTGGAACAGAGGCCTCAAGTTTCACCAGACTTTCAAAAATGTGATTTTTTTTTAGCAGATTTTGAAATCAGGATATCCTGAGCTATGAGGCACCCCCAAGGAGCATCCAGTCCAACTCCTCACCCTGCACAGGCCCATCCCCAAGAGTCCCACCCTGTGCCCCAGGGAAGCATCCAAACCCTCCTGGAGCTCTGGCAGCCTTGGGGCTGTGCCCACTGCCCTGGGGAGCCTGGGCAGTGCCCAACCAGCCTCTGGGAGAAGAATCTTTTCCTGAGATCCAACCTGAGCCTGCCCTGGCACAGCTCCAGCCATCCCCTGGCTGCTGTCCCTGGTCCCCCCAGAGCAGAGCTCAGTCCCTGCCCCTCCTCTGCCCTGGGATGAGGTTCCTGGTGGCGACACCTTTGGGGTGTTCCAGGGAGGGTGATTGTTCCATCACGCCTGAAATTAGCCTGGATGTGCCACAGAATCGTGGAATGGTTTGGGTTAGAAAGGACCTTAAAGGTCGAACTGAAAGAGGAGAAATTTAGGTTGGAGGAAGGGAAGAAATTCCTCCCTGGGAGGGTGGAGAGGCCCTGGAATGGATTTCCCAGAGAAGCTGTGGCTGCCCCTGGATCCCTGGAAGTGTCCAAGGCCAGGTTGGAACAACCTGGGCTGGTGGAAGGTGTCCCTGCCCATGGCAGGGGGTGGCACTGGATGAATTTAAGGTCCCTTCCAACCCACACCACTCTGGGATCCCAGGATCTCATTCCACCCCCTGCCACAGGCAGGGACACCTCCCACTATCCCAGGCTGCTCCAAGCGCCATCCAGCCTGGCCCTGGACACTCCCAGGGATGTCACCAGGCACCCCAGAACCCAAGAGGTGCCCCAGGGTGTGGAATGAGAAGGTGGAGGGTTAACCCAACCCCTCCACATCCAGCCCCACGTGTATTAAACCAACCCGGCAAATCCGTGACCTCGGCGTGTTCCCAGCCCCGGAACACAGAGCCCACGGAGCCCAGGGAAGCAGGAATTCCATCCCAGCTCCCTGCACATGCTGCTCTCGGGGCTTTTCTTTGAGCTGCTCATCGTTTTCAGCCCCATCATGGGATTTTTCGGGCGTCTGACCCACGGGGTTGGGAGTGCCAGAGCTCGGCAGGGAAGCTGTGGCTTGGCACAGGCTCTTCCCCCTGGGATGGCCTCCTGCCTCCCCACTGTGCCAGCCATCCCTCGGGGTGGCAACTGTCCCTGCTGCCCGTGCCCACTCTCAGCCCCAGCCTCTGTGCCCTCCCCTCCTGCCTCGGTGTTCCCGCGGCTCTCACACCGTTCCCATCGTCTTCTCCTTCTCTTTTCCTTTTGGGAATCGATCCTTGCCAAGCCAAGCCCGGGCCCAGCCCCTGTGGGTGCAGTGGGGACTGGGCACAGGTAGCACTGGGCCCCCCCAGCCTGCACCAGGGACAGGGTGGGCACTCCTGTCACTCCCGACCCCCCGACTGCCAGATTCCAGGGGAAGCCCTAGGACAGGCAAAAACGGGCATGGCAGGACCCGGAGGGCACCCTGGGCTGCTCCAGAGGGTGATGGACAGGGGGGGCCCTGCTTTGTGCAGCGCCAGCACCCCCCAGAGGGTGATGGACAGGGGGACCCCCCTTGGTGAGCGCCTGTCCCTGAGCCCCGAGGAGCAGCATTCCCATATTCCCATCCCGTGAGGAGCAGCATTCCCATATTCCCATCCCGTGGGAATCTCGGCCTCCAGCTCCCAGCCCCTTCCCAGCCCGGGTCTGGCAGGGGGACAGTGACACCTACAGGAATGTGACAAGGGCCACCCGTGTCCCCCCCTCGCCCACCAGGACACGTGGGTGGCTCCCAACAGGCAGGGCTGGGCCCCTGCCACCACCCTGGGCTGGACATTTGTCCCCTGCCACCACCCTGGGCTGGGCATTTGTGCCCTGCCACCATCCCAGGCTGGACATTTGTCCCCTGCCACCACCCTGGGCTGGGCATTTGTGCCCTGCCACCACCCTGGGCTGGACATTTGTCCCCTGCCACCACCCTGGGCTGGGCATTTGTGCCCTGCCACCACCCTGGGCTGGACATTTGTGCCCTGCCACCACCCTGGGCTGGACATTTGTGCCCTGCCACCACCCTGGGCTGGGCATTTGTGCCCTGCCTCCCGCATCCCATGGGAAGGAGTGGCCAGAGGGGCAGGTGGCCACACCCAGCTTTGTCCCCCTGGGTCCTGTGCCAGAGGGGACACTCGGGGGGCCCTGGGGGGGGGACAGGGGGAAGGAGCAGGGTGGGCAGCAGCAACAGCCCAGGTGGAAACAGCTCCACTGCCCGTGGTCAGTGCAAGGAACAGATCCCACAGATCCCTCCTGGTCTTCAGCCGACGATCCCAAACAGGTTCGCAGGGTCCGGGTAACCCACGGTAGATCCAACCTTGGGAAGGCCATCCCTGGCCTGTCAGGATTATATTCCACACGGGAGGCAGGCAGGAGCCGTGCAGGCACACTCCTGGCACACGGCCCGGGCTGCTGGAGGAGGAACAGGCAGCCCCGAACGCTCCTGGGGGCAGGAATGCTGGATCTTCACCACGCTTTGGAATGATGCTGGAAGGGGCTCTGCAGCTTCACATGCTGGGAAAGCCCAGCCTGAGGCATCCAGACAGCCTGAGCCTGCTGTGGCTGCAGGGCAACCACTCCAGGGCATGCAGAGCCATCCCACAGCTCCAGAGGGCATGGAGAGCCATCCCACAGCTCCAGGGGGACATGGAGAGCCATCCCACAGCTCCAGGGGGACATGGAGAGCCATCCCACAGCTCCAGGGGGACATGGAGAGCCATCCCACAGTTCCAGAGGGCATGGAGAGCCATCCCACAGCTCCAGGGGGACATGGAGAGCCATCCCACAGCTCCAGGGGGTATGAAGAGCCATCCCACAGCTCCACCATGTGCCATCCTCGCCCATTCGGTGTCAGATCCAGCTGGTGCTCATCCCAAATCCCTCTGCCCTGGGCCAGGTCTCAGCTCCAAATTCCATCTTCTCCAGCCGATGCCACAAAGCCTCTTCCCAAACAGCCACATTCCTGCCTCCTGGCTGGATCCATGGGCCTCCCAGGCAGGAACCAGAGGTGCTGGCAGGCAGGTATGGAAGGGAGACATCCTTGCCCTGGTGCAAAAGGCGCTGGACCACCTGGAATATCCTCGTGCACATCCCAGTGCCGGATTGGGAAGCCCAACAGTAAATCCACCCGCTGGGAGCCAGCAGGGATGTGTGCTGGTGGCGAGCTGGCCCCGTCCTCCTGGCTTTTTCCACCTTGTTTCCATGATCTCGCAGGGAACAGGGATCTGTGAGCCCCTCGGCCTCCCTGGGAGGGTTCCTGCAGCATCCCACACCGTCCAGCCGGGAATGCCAGCGGAGCCCGGAGCACAAAGCCACCCCAGCAGAGGAGGCAGGGCAGGCACAGCCCTTCCTCACGCTCACAGCCTGCACAGCACAGCCTGGTCCCTCCAAATCCAGCAGGAATCAGCCCCAGCTGCCACCTCCGTGGGTTTTTCCTGGATCCCCCCCTTCCCTTCCCGGCCCTGCAGCCCCACCGAGGCACAGGGTGGGGAGTCTGCATGGAGGGCGAGACCCAGGGGGGATTTTTTCACCCCCCTTCCCCCCAGAAACCCTCGCCTGATAGAGCCACCCTCCCTAAACTCCCATCCATAAAACATCTGCAGAGAATTCCAAGCTAATCCTCGGCAGTCTCCGGGGTGTCGGAGCAGGCGAGGATTTGCAGGCAGATGCACAAGGCTCTGCCAGCACACAAGGAGATGGCCCCTTTTCCTCCCCACACCAGCAGCCTCTTTTCCGAGCTCTAAGACACGTTTTCTTTTGCTGGTTCTGCCACAGACCTTCGGGAGAGGGAAATATTTCTCCTCTTGCAACTCACCCCCCAAAAAGGCTCCCTCTGGAACACGCAGCCTCCCAGAGCCAGGGGGCTGCTTTGGCTCCTTGGGAATGATCCCAGATGTGCAGAGCCGGGTGTTCTCTGCACCAGGATCCTCCCCACGAGGCCACCCTTGGGTGGTCACCCCATCCCTGGGGGTACAACATCCCTGGATCACCGGGGTGCTCCGGCTCCTCGGGATTTGGGGATGCAGCTTCCCCCCCCCGCACCCACAAAGCCTTTGGGGCAACCAGGAATTGGGGGACAGGGGGGGCCTGCTTTCATGCAGGGCGGCTGGACCCCAGTCTGGATGTCTCCAGTGGGGCACCCTGGAGGTCCCTGTCCCCCTGGGGGTCCCAGCCCCCCAAAATGTCACCATGAGACGTCCAGCACCGCCTCAGGCATGCGCACAGCTGGGCCCCCAGCCGGGCTGGAGCCCCCCTTTTCTCCCCTGCCCAGGGGTCTCCCCACTCGTGCCCCCTTCTCTCTGTCTCAGAGGGCACAGCTCGTGCCCCCCAGCACTCCCTGGGAGAGGGCACCCCCAAACTGGGGCTGGGGCCTGTGTCCCACCCCACACAGAGGCGTGGGAGGCACCAGCTGACCCCTCCCCACCCCACAGCACCCCTTCAATCCCCGGGATCGCGCCGGGAGCAGGGAGGGGAAGAGCCCCTCACCCTCATTCCAGGCAGGGAGCGGAGCCGAGCTCCACGTCCCTCTGGAGCGGGGTTGGCTCTGCCAACCTTCAAGTCTCCCCCAGCAGCTCCCTGGCCCTTCTCCCTGGCCCCGCAGGACGGTGACACCCCGCCAGCCCAGCAGAGGCTCAGCGGAGTTTTCCGGGTGCTCGATGCTGCAGGGAGCTGGGATCACACCCGGGAACAGAGAGGGAGCTGGGATCACAGACCGGGAACCCACGGGGGGCTGGGATCACAGACCGGGAACCCACGGGGGGCTGGGATCACAGACCGGGAACCTACGGGGGGCTGGGATCACAGACCGGGAACCCACGGGGGGCTGGGATCACACCCCGGGAACCCACGGAGAGCTGGGATCACACACCGGGAACCCAAAGAGATCTGGGATCACACGCCGGGAACCCACGGAGGGGCCGGGAATCTGGGATGGCATCGGGAGCACGACACGGGCACAGCCAGGAGCCACGGCAAGGAGGGCAAAAAACCGGACATTTCCCACCTGCCTCCTTTTCACCCCAAACCCAGCACGGTCTGGGGGTCCCATCTCCCCCTCCCTTTTCCAGCTGCACCTCCCGTGGGAGGCTGCCCTAGAAATAAATGGGAAGCGTCTCCCGGCGCAGACAAAGCTCCCCGGGAACTCAGCCGCGCTCCCTCTCTCCGGCACCACGCGCGATTCCAGCCGCGGGGACGGCGGTTCCCCACGCACACGCGACACGCCACGGGCTCAACTTTCCCTGCCCGTTCCCCGCGCCGCGTTCCCAGCCTTTGGAAGGGCGCGGGGTGGGGAGCAGCACTGGGAGGGCACCGCACGGGTGGGAGGGGGCGAGAGGGGCAAATATCCCCCCAAAACGCAAATCCCTGCTGGCTGACGAGGAGAGAAGGATCGCAGACGAGCAGGGCTGTGCCGGTGGATGATCCCGCTCGCTCCCTGCGCTGCCAGCGGCGGGGGCTGCTTGGGGTTGTGTCCCCCTCGTCCCCCGTGTCCCCCTCCCCGTTTTAAGTTTACAGGGAACAGGAGAATCGAGTTGCCCTTAGTTAAGCCCCTCGCCGCGTCCCCCTCCTGCCGCAGCGCCGGCTCGCAGGGGGTCGGTCCCGCTCTCAGCCCCCGCAGCCTCTCACCCGGGGGTGGGGGGGACACGCCACCTCGGCCAGGCGACAGCCACCACCCCCCAACATCCCCCCCACCAGCCCGGGGCACCCCGGCCGGGGCCACTCACCTACGAAGAGGACGATGCAGAAGGCGTTTGCCAAGATCATGTTAGGAAATCCGCGCGCTCCTCCACGTGTGCAAAAAAAAATAAAATAAAATAAAAATTTAAAAAATTTAAAAAAAAAAAGGGATGGATCAAAAAAAATAATATATATATATATATATAATAATAATTCCCAAGGCGAGCAGGTAAGATCCCAAATCCTGGAAGGGAAGGGAAGGGAAGAAGGGGGTGTGCTCCGCCCGGCGCGGAGCCGGGTCCTCCTCAGCCGCTCGCCGCCTCCCGCATCCCCGCCGGGCTCCGCTCCGCGCTCCGGGCTCGGCGGCTCCGCGGGGCTCCCGGAGGAGCTTCTGCCGAGCTCCGGCTGCCGGGGCGGCGGGGAGGGGGCGCGGCGAGGGGCGGCCGCGCTCCGCCGAGCCCCGGCGAAGGGGCCGAGCCGGCGGTGCCGCCGTCCCCTCCCCGCCCCCCCGGCCCTGCCCGCCCCC